GAACTAAAGTGCTTCAGAACACTCAAAAACTACCCAATCAAAGGTGGAATCATGCGCTTTCTAACACACCAATCACCTTGCAGAATTATGGACATTTAGAAAAATTCCGCCAATTGGAAAGTGCACCTAACAACTATTTCGGACCAGAGTAGTATATATTTCTGAATGTTGGCTTTCATTTATCTTTTGCACGTTTTAAGTACTTCCTCCGTTCCAAGATATTGTTGTGGTATGTATTTACACTTGAAATATATATCCGCTCATACACTCAAAATCTGAAAACAGCGATATTTTCATTCAAATTCAACACGTAACGACCAACACCACCATGATGTACTGCAAGTATCATTCGTCGTTATCTAAAGCCATCTCGTGTATCAGCGAAGCCCGATTTCAGTTTCACACACTGCGTGTCCGCAGGCAGGACGCATTTACCAGCGCACGCGTCGGATGCTTGGAACCCAGCAGCATCCTCCGTGCAATGGGAATGTGCATGAACTCCCGACTTGGGCAATGCGCCAAAGTTTGTGCTTGTGCACACGTGCGACGTCGGATGGCAATAGCGGTCGTCACCTCCGACATTCACACATGGATTCAGTGGCAAGGGAGGGAACTCATGGTCGTTGGCGCTTGCCATCGCAACAGCGACGGATGTCAATACAGCTCGCATCATGTTCTTCAGAGGTGCGTCGCTGGTTGGAGAATGGCGTCGACTCGAGCAAGAGGAGGTGGATTTCGCCCATGCGGCCAATGCAGAGTCCATGCAGCGTCAGGTCGATGTAGCCAACATACAAGTTCCAAGTCAAAGAACTGGACATGGGGTACACATGCGAAGGAGCAACACCACGACACGACGAGCATACCAGGGATGTGTGCGATACTCCAGCAAATTAATTGGGGCAGGGATATGCCGCTTGCGCGTCGTCGAATCTTCTTGATCTTGACGAGCCTCCAATGCGTTGTCGACGCGATGCCTGTGGACTCGGACAACGCATGGAATGTCGAGCGATGGTACGGATCGGCGGCCTTGACGGCAGCCTCCACATCGGCTAGAGTGCTTGTCGGCTTGCGGCCACAGTTTCCCTTCTTTCGCGCCGACACACCAAAACAACCCAGGGCCAGGGTCGCTTCCGGAGTCAGACCACGTCGCCATATGAGCGATGCTGCTTGCAACATCACACGATACTCGCAAAATGCCTTCATCGCACCTTGTGCGGCGTCACCGTCCTTCTTGATCGCGACCATCGATCAGTACAGGCGCCTTCGCTCACCTTCGGCGAGCTCACAAGCTGTCGTGGTGGCACTAGCCATGCGTGTTGGTAGCTTTGAATTTCGTCAGTTGGGGCGATCTGAAGTGTGCTAGGAGTGCTACGCTTCAAGGCGAATCGAAAGCGAAGAATTTTGCCAATCGGAGAGGAATAAAACGAGTGGTCGAAGTTTAAAATTTGCTATGTTCTCGTGAACTATGGCCAATAAAATTGTTCTAAAAATACCTCCTTGTTGATAATCACTTTGGTAATGTTTTGAGCCTGATTGGGCGTCTCGAAGGTTTATAACCATCGAGTTATCAAAAAAGAAAACCCACAATAGTAGTTTGGCACGGAGGAAGTATTCACTAGCTGTCGATGGTACGACGTCAAAGTAATTGGATATTTGGTTTCTATCTCTCGTGCAGGTATTCACATTAGTGAGGAGATCCGCGACAGGGCATCTACGGAGATAACATACTGGGCCTCCAGGGGCAAAGTCTCTCGTCCGTTAACCAATTTTTTCGCGCCAAAAGATATGTAAAATGATGTGATCACGCTCTGGACCATAAAAGTGGGCAATGACTCCATCGAGGGCAGTCGCCGCTTGGTACTTCAACAGGTGCTTGTGCTACAATGACTTGACGTGTGAACGTGATGCCGTACAAAATTGGACTGGCCTAATGCCCATTGAACACGGTTTTTTATTACTTTTTGCCCGGTCTGCATCTTTCACGGAGAGTACCATCGATGAATTCAATACAGGGAGCGACGGAAAAATGTCCGCAGGGCTCTTCACCACAAATTCGTCATATAGACATTGTTGCAGCATTTAATCTGCAAGAAAAAAATTGTGGGATTTTTGCCCAATGGGTGAAAATTTCTTGTGTGACCTAGTGCATGTTGGCATGCATAATAAATAGGTGGATGTTGCATCAAATCAGTGTATTAACCTTCTCACTTCGTCTTCGTTGTACCAATAATGGCATCATACA